TGGGAAACAAAGGATTGGGTCCCTAATTTTAAAAGGTCAAACTGGTCACAGTGTGGCAGTAGGACTGGACGAGAGAGGCGCAGTGAGTACACTGGTGAGAGGTGGTGCTGGCCTGAGCAGAGGCAGGGACCATGGGTTTGGAGAGGACAGGGTGTGAAGACCAGAGAGAGGCCGTGGTTAACAATGTCCTGAAGGTAAAGCCAGCACAGGTGTAGGAGCTGGTACCTAGGGGACTTTGGCTCTTTGGACATGAATAGAAGAACTCGTTCTGCTAAAGGGGGGCTAGTTGCTATACTCTTGGTTTATCCCGCACAGAGGGTAGGAAAGACTAAGAAGGGAGGAGGACGGGAGAGTGGGTGCGGATCACATGTTGGGCAGGAGCTGACACACTTTGCTGAATCCTTATAGCCACCCTGAGAGGTGAGGAGACTGAGTTTACATTTATTTGCCTGAAGTCGCACAGCCAGTAAGTGATGGGGCCAGAAGTCAGTTCTGCACCTGTCACCCTGGACTCCATTCTGAGCCCCTAGGAAGCTCTTGTCAGGTGAGGCCTCAGAGGAAGGTCACGTGGGCAGAAGCAGACCTGTGCTCTGGACTGAAGAACAGATTTTACACGGCTGGAGGGCAGGCAGGGTGTAGAAGTGGGGAAGCCCCTGTGATAGGCCTCTGGTGCTGGTTGTGCTCCTGTAAAGGGCCAGGGCACCTCCTCCCTCCCTCCCTGTCCCCTTCCCCAGCTGCCTGCCCAAGTCCTACCCCAGACACCAGCTGGGGTGAGTGTATGACAAGGTGGGCCATTCGGTAATGTGCAGATTTTCTTCAAATAGAATGACCAAGATTCAACCCAAAGCTGCAAGAACTGTGAGATTCCTCCATTCATCCAGGATACTGTGTGTGCTCGCAATTCTGGCCCATCTTGGCCCATTTAAGGCCTCAGTTATGTTAGAATCAGTCTTCAGCTTAAATACCTGCAAAATGGAGATAACACATCCCCTGCCTCATCTACCAAATGGGGGCAATAGGTCAGATGAGTATGTGAGGATCTTAAAACAGGAATTATATCAAAGTGAGCTTATTACCATGAGTCTGCATCCTCATTTTAATGCAGAGTGGGCAGAGCCCTCAAGGCAGGAAAATGCTCTTTTCTTCCAGCTTGAGGGCACCTTGGGAGGAACACCTGAGTGAAGGTCACCAGGAAGAGTTTTTCTCTGCTGCCAGCTATTTCCGGCTTGAAAATAACCAGAAATGCTATTCTCTGCTGCCATCTCCTGTGCATCTTGGAAACAGCACCTGAGTAGAGGTCAGCAAAAGTTCTCTGCTGTCTCCTGTGCATGTTGAGAACAACACCTTAGAGGAGATTACCAGAAAAAGCTGGTTCAGAGGCCGGGCTAGGACCTGAGGCCCCGAGGCTAGGCTTCAAGGCTCCGAGGCTAGCATCAGTCTTTAATGTGTCACACTGCACACTGACAAGTCACAGGCTTTGGTCTTGTGTTGGCAGTGGCAGCTTACAGTGAGTCTAAAGGTCTGAGCACCACATTGGCCTGCAGGGAACAGACACTCATTCCAAACCCCCGTCTCCATTCCTTCTGAATCCTATCATTGACCTGTCCAGAGAGCAGTAGCTGCCGATGACTGGTTTCATTTGAGTGTACAGCAACTTAAAACAGAATTACAAAAACATATTTACAGACATTCCACAGTGATCCTATAGTCAGGAGCAAAGACCTTTTTATTTTTATTTTATTTTTATTAATCCTCAACCGAGGATATTTTTTCCATTGATTTTTAGAGAGTGGAAGGGAGGTAGAGTGACACAGAGAGAGAAACACCAATGTGAGAGAGACACATCGATTGGTTGCCTTTCACACGTGGGATCAAGCCTGCAACCAAGGTATGTACTCTTTGCTGGAATCGAACCCAGACCCTTCAGTCCGAGGGCCAACACTCTATCCACTGAGCCAAATCAGCTAAGGCAAAGACCTTTTTATAAAAAGGGATTATATCTAGGGCTGTGCAAAATTCAAAACGATCAGATCCCTTTGAAAGAGTCCAGAGTCCATGAAATGAAAACTGACCCATTGGGAAGGCCCAGTGTGCCAAAGATTGCCTTCCGGGAAAGGACCCTTATTGAGCACACTTGGCCCTGGAGCCAGAGGTTGAAAGGGCTCCTGATTCTAGAGGGAGAGGTGGCTGTGCAAGTCACTCTCACTCACTGAGGCTGGCTCCCTTGGTCGTGCTGGAAAGAGGTATTGTTTGTGGGCACTGGCTAGATTGCCAGTGCAATCTGGGCTTGAGTTCTGGGGCTAAGAAAGTTTAGAATCCGAGTCACGGCACACACACACACACACACACACACACACAGAAAGAAAGAAAGTTTAGAGTCAAGACAAACAAAAGTTTATTTAGAAAGTCACAGAGATAAAAAAAAAAAAAAAAGTGAGACAACCAGGCTGTGTGGGCTCAGGAAACAAGTTAGAGAGTCAAAGGGCCCTTGGAACTTAGGAGAAAGAAAACAAGGATATAGGTGCCTGGGGGAAGGAGAGGGTGAAAGGCATAAGAGAGAAAGGGTGAGGGAGAGAGAGAGATGGAGGCTGGGTCCTCTGTCCTAAGGGTTTTTATCTGCTCTCTAAAGGTGGGGAAATTAGGGGAGGTCTCTGGGAGGATCTCAATGGAATATTCCCGGAAGGCAATCTTTGGCACACTGGGGCTTCCCAATGGGTCATTTTTCATTTCATGGACTCTGGACTCTTTTAAAGGGAACTGATCCTTCTGAATTTTGCACAGCCCTAGATATAATCCCAGCTTTCCAGGTGTGTCCTTTCAGGACTTTCTAAATAAATTTTTCTTTGTCTTGACTCTAAACTTTCTGTGTGTGTGTGTGTGTGTGTGTGTGTGTGCTTTTCTTTGTCTTGACTCTAAACTTTCTTTCTGTGTGTGTGTGGGTGGGTGTGGGTGTGCGCGCGAGCACCGTGACTCGGATTCTAAACTTTCTTAGCCTCAGAACTCAGGCACTGAGGTTGCTGAATCAAGGTTCAATCATGGAATCTGGTGCCAATTCACCTCTAGGAGATCAAGGCTAGATGCTACAGGGCCTTATAAGTTAAGAGGAAAAGGAAATCAGAAGGGTGTAAAGGAGGGTGGAGAAATAATATTGCTTTGTAGAAAGTTCACTCTGACTTCAGTGTTATAAAACAGATAAGGACGGGGCAAGCCTGGGAGCAGGCGAGCAGCTGGCAGGCTGCGGCAGTGAACCCGCTGAACAGTGAGGGTGGCTAAAATTAGAGTGACTGCAGTAGGGATGAACAGAAACAGGAGGAATTCTCAGGAAAGATGTCAGACTGAACAGATATATCTCCATTTTCTTCCTCCCGAAACTTTAAAAACGCAAATGGGATTGTTTGTTTCAAAAACATTTTGGAAGGCACCAAAGAAATGGACAAGTACTAGATGATTGAGAAAACCAGTAAGGAGGATAACTCAAAGGCAATTTTATTGGCACCACAGACTCACCAAGAGGTTTAGGACCTGATTACCTCAGGCACCTCTGGAAGTGGCAGTGAAGGGGACAGAGAAGTCCTATAATTAGGATTGGTTAAAACTGTTTAAGAAGCAGTTAAGTCCCCTCCCTGACTTGAGTTACTGGAATACTACCCATCCCCCTTCTTGGGAAAGAGACTGTAAAACAAAAGGAAGATTATGCAAAAACTGTACATACTGAATAATAAAGCAATTTATCTCACAACCCCAGCCCAATTTCTCTACTCAGCTCCAAGAACTCTAGCTGCCGAGACTTCAGCCTCTAGGCAGGAGGATATGAGGAGAATCTTCTTTGGGTCATGGGAACGAAAGAA